TCCCTGCCTTAGCCTCCCAGTAGCTGGGACTACAGGCACTCACTACTCGCCCGGCTAGTTTTTTGTATTTTTAGTAGACGGGGTTTCACCGGGATAGCCAGGATGGTCTCAATCTCCTGATCTCGTGATCCGCCTGCCTCGGCCTCCCAAAGTGCTGGGATTACAGGCTTGAGCCACCGCTACTGCCTCTATTTATTTTTTTTTTAGAGATAGGCCCTACCTTTGCTGCTCCAGCGAAGTGCAGTGGTACAGCGCTCACTGCACCCCAACTCCTGGGCTCAAGTGATCCTCCCACCTCTGTGCCTTCCAAGTAGCTAGGACTACAGGCAAGCCACTATACTTAGCTCATTTTAAAATTTTTGTAGTGCTGAGATCTCACTATGTCAGGTGCCCAGCTGGTCTTGAACTCCTGGCCTCAAGCAGTTCTCCCACCTCAGCCTTCCAAATCTCTGAGATTACAGACATGAGCCATTACATGTAATAATTACTTAATTTTGTTTTTTGTTTTTTTGAGACCGGGACCACTGTGATGACTAGGCTGGAGTACAGTGGGGTGATCTCAGCTCACTGCAACCTCCACCTCCTGGATTCAAGTGATTCTCCTGCCTCAGCTCCCGGGCAGCTGAGAGATTACAGGCGCCTACCACCATTCCCAGCTGATTTTTGTATTTTTAGTAGAGACAGGGTTTCACCATATTGGCCAGGCTGGTCTTGAACTCCTGACCCCAGGTGATCCGCCCACCTCGGCCTCCCAAAGTGCTGAGATAACAGGCGTGGCTTGCAGTGCCTGGCCTGTATCTTTTTTTTTTTTTTTTTTTTTTTTGAGAGGTGTCACTTGTCGCCCAGGCTGGAGTGCAGTGGTGCCGCTCGCTCACTGCAAGCTCCGCCTCCCAGGTTCACACCATTCTCCTACCTCAGCCTCCGGAGTAGCTGGGACTACAGGCACCCGCCACCACACCCGGCTAATTTTTTGTATTTTTAGTAGAGACGGGGTTTCACCGTGTTAGCCAGGATGGTCTCAATCTCCTGGATCTGCCTGCTCGCCTCCCAAAGTGCTGGGATTACAAGCGCGTGAGCCACTGCACCCAGCCCCAGCTTTGTTTTTATATAGAGTCTTGTTCTGTTGCCCATGTTGAACTGCAGTGGTGCAACCTTGCACACTGCAACCTCACCTCTCAGGCTCAACCCGTCCTCCCACCTCAGCCTCCCAAGTAGCTGGGACTACAGACGTGTGCCACCATGCCCGCTTTATTTTATACTTTAATAGAGACAGGGTTTCACTCATGTTGACCAGGCTGGTCTCGAACTCCTGACCTCAAGTGTTCTGCCTGCCTTGCCTCCCAAAGTGCTGAGATTATAGGCATGAGTCACCATTCCTTGCCTAAAAAGATTTTTTAACAGTTTTGAAATGTATCATGGGCTGTAAAGTTTACCCATTTAAAATGTACAGTTCAACAGAAACCCCCTCTAATTGTGGTAAAATAAAAATATATATAACATATAGGGTATAGTTTCTTTTCTTTTTGTTTTTTTGAGATGGGGTCTCACTCTGTTGCCTAGGCTGGAGTGCAGTGGCACGATCTTGGCTCACTGTAGCCTCTGCTTCCTGGGTTCAAACGATTCTCATGCCTCCTACGTAGCTGGGATTACAGGCACGGTGCCACCATTTCTGGCTATTTTTTGTATTTTTTGTAGAGACAGGGTTTCACCATGTTAGTCAGGCTGGCAATTTCAACCTTTTTTTTTTTGGAGACAGAGTCTTGCACTGTTGCCCAGGCTGGAGGCAGTAGTGCAGGCCATAGCTCACTGCAGCCTGGTTAACTGCTGGGCCCAAGGATCTTCCCACCTTGGCCTTTCAAAGTGCTGGTATTACAGGCATGAGTCACTATGCCCAGCCCATTTTAACTAGTTTTTAAGTGTACAGCTCAGTGACATTATGTGTATGCACATTGTTGGTCAGCAACCACCACCACCCATCCCCAGAACTTTTTATCTTGCAGAAATGAAACTCTGTATCCATTAAATAATAATCCCTGCTAATCAGCATATGAGAAATGCTTGGCTGGGCACGGTGGCTCACGCTGTAATCCCAGCACTTTGGGAGGCCAAGGTGGGTAGCTCACTTGAGGCTAGGAGTTCGAAAGACTGGGTCTGGCCAGCATGGTCAAACACTGGCTGTACTAAAAATACAAAATTTAGCCAGGCATTGTGGTGCACACCTGTAATCCCAGCTACTCAGAAGGCTGAGGTGGGAGGATTGCTTGAACCCGGGAGGCGGAGGTTGCAGTGAGCCAAGATCGCGCCACTACACTCCAGCCTGGGCAACAGACGGTAGACTTCCATCCTTGGTGAAAAAAGTACATGAGATGATGGATATGATAATTAGCTTGACTTAATCATCTCACAATGTATACATATGCCAAAATATCACATTAGGGCCAGGCGTGGTAGCTCATGTCTGTAACCCTAGCACTTTGGGAGGCCGAGGCAGGCAGATTCGCTGAGCTCAGGAGTTCAAGACCAGTCTAGGCAACATGGTGAAACCTCGTCTCTACTGAAAATACAAAAATTAGCTAGCGTGGTGATGCGCACTCTGTAGTCTCAGCTGCTTGGGAGGCTGAGGCAGGAGAATCGCTTGAACGCAGGAGGCAGAGGTTGCAGTGAGCCGAGATCGTGCCATTGCACTCCAGCCTGGGTGATGAACAAGACTTGAACCTGTAAGGAAAAAAAAATCGATGAATTTACAGTGTATAATGTGATTTTTTAATGGGAAGTTTTATGTTACATTTTTTTAAAAACAAAAAGAAATACATTTATATTTTAATTTTTAAGCTTTTTGTGATAGGCCCACAATGGCTCACACCTGTAATCCTAACACTTTGGGAGCCTGAGATGGGAAGATCACTTGAGACCAGGAGTTTGAGACCAGCCTTGGCAACATAAGGAGACTCCTTTTCTGCAAAAGCTAAAAATTAGTTGGGTGTGGCATACATGGGCTTGTAGGCCCCAACTCCTCAGGAGCCTGAGGCAGGAACATTGCTTGAGCCTAGGAGTTCTAGGCTGCAGTAAGCTATGATTTCACCACTGTACTCCTGCCTGGGTGACAAAACGAACCCTGTTCTTTTTTTTTTTATTTTTATTTTTTTTTTTTGAGACGGAGTCTGCTTGTCGCCCAGGCTGGAGTGCAGTGGCTGATTCTGCTCACTGCAAGCTCGGGCCCCGGTTCACGCCATTCTTCCTGCCTCAGCCTCAGTAGCTGGGACTACAGGCGCCACATTCCTCGCTCGGCTAGTTTTTGTATTTTTAGTAGAGACGGGTCAGGGTTAGCCAGATGGTCTCGATCTCCCGACTCGTGATCCGCCTCGTCTGCCTCCAAAGTGCTGGGATTACAGGCCGATCTCACCGCTACCAGCTGCCTCTTCTTATTTTTTAATTTTTAAAAAAGCTTTTTGTGATCACAGGATCTAAAAGCTAAAAATTATTGGTTAGGCCGTGTGCAGTGGCTTACGCCTGTAATCCCAGCACTTTGGGAGGCGGAGGCGGGCAAATAACCTGAGGTCAGGAGTTCAAGGCCAGCCTGGCCAACATGGAGAAACCCTGTCTCTACTAAAAATACAAAAATTAGCCGGCCATGGTGGTGGAGACCTGTAGTCCCAGCTACTCAGGAGGCTGAGGCAGGAGAATTGCTTGAACCCAGGAGGTGGAGGTGCAGTGAGCCGAGATTGTGCCACTGCACTTCAGCCTGGGCAACAAGTGGGAAACCTCTACCTCAAAAAAAAAAAAAAAAAAAAAAAAATTACTGGTTTAGGCCAGGCATGGTGGCTCACGCCTGTAATCCCAGCACTTTGGGAGACTGAGGTGGGTGGATTACGAGGTCAGTTGTTCGAGACCAGCCTGACCAACATGGTGAAACCCCATCGCTACTAAAAATACAAAAATTAGCTAGGCCTGGTGGCGTGTGCCTATAATCCCAGCTACTCAGGAGGCTGAGGCAGGAGAATTGCTTGAACCCAGGAGGCAGAGGTTGCGGTGAGCCGAGATCACGCCGCCGTACTCCAGCCTGGGGGACAGAGCAAGACTCTGTCTCAAAAAATATATATATATATTACTGGCTTGAACCCAGTAATTTTTAGTACTTGAGTTATCAATATAATAAATAATAGATAATAAAAACATAAATATATGATAAATTTTGATATGCAGTTATTAAATGGAAAGTAAAATTTCATTAGAAATGCAAAAAGTTAAAAACAAACTCTCTAGTCCTTGTTCCCCCATCTCTGGCAGCCACCATTCTATTTTCTGCCTCTATGAACTTAACTACTTAGGGACCTCATAAAAGCTGAATCATACAGTGCTTGTCTTTTGGTGACTGGTTTGTTTCACTTAGCATAATGTTCTCAGACTCATCCCTGTTGTATTAATAGCATGTGATAGGATTTCTTTCCTTTTTTTTTTTTTTTTTTGAGACAGGGTCTCACTCTATTGCCCAGGCTGGAGTCCAGTGGTGTGATCACAGCTCACTGCAGCCTTTACCTCCCGGGCCCAAGTGAATCTTCCCTCCTCAGCCTCCCACGTAGCTGGGACTGTGGGCACACACCACCACACCTGGCTAATTTTTGAAATTTTTTGCAGAGATGGGGGTATTGCTATATTGTCCAGGCTGGTCTCAAATTCCTGGGCTCGAGCAATACTTCCTTGGCCCCTCAAAGTGCTGGGATTATAGGCATGTGCCACCTCTCCCGGCCAAAACCCCCTCTTTTTATAGATGAGATACTTGCTCCAAGTTGCACAGCTGGTTTGGTCTCTTGACTCTAGATTCCAGAGGCATTGGTAGAACACTTGATCATGCTGGCTTCAGCATCTGCATGTTAACAAGCTCTTCTCGTTACTTCTCTCCACTTTAGTTTCACTGTCCCACCCCTAAGCTTCTTTGGCCTCTGTGAAGCACAGATTTTCCGGGCCTGATTGGATCTAAGTCTCCTACTTTCCTCCCACAGATACTATGGCGGGACTGAGTTTATTGATGAACTGGAGACCCTCTGTCAGAAGCGAGCCCTGCAGGCCTATAAGCTGGACCCACAGTGCTGGGGGGTCAACGTCCAGCCCTACTCAGGTGATTGTCTCATCCACATGGCCTGGTGCAGCCTCCTCATGTGCATCCCCCAGGGCTGACATGCACCAAGAAGCATCCTTAGAAGGACTGCCATAGGCCGGGCGCGGTTGGCTCACGCCTGTAATCCCAGCACTTTGGGAGGCAGAGGCAGGCAGATCACCTGAGGCCGGGAGTTCAAGACCACCTGACCAACATGGAGAAACCTGGTCTCTACTGAAAACACAAAAATTGGCTGGGTGTAGTGGTGCATGCCTGTAATCCCAGCTACTCAGAGGCTGAGGCAAGAGAATTGCTTGAACCTGGGAGGCAGAGGTTGCGCTGAGCCAAGATCGTGCCATTGCACGCCAGCCTGGGCAACAAGAGCGAAACTCCATCTCAAAAACAAAAAAAAAAAAAAAAAAGAAGGACTGCCATAAATAAAATATAAGCCATGTATCTCTCTGTATTGCCCTTGGGCTCCCAGCTCTGTACTCCTCCCAGGAAGTGCCCTTTCTCTGAACTTCCCCTTTCAAGGCTGATGGTGAAGGGGCACCTCCTGGAGCTCAGGGAAGGCATGAGGCCTGTTCTTGCCATTCCTGGGTGAAGGCTTAGTGGCCAAGGTCCCGGATGCCACTTGGTACCTCGGTTAGAAATAATCGTGTCTCCTTTGGTCCACTCATTTCAGGCTCCCCTGCAAACTTTGCTGTGTACACTGCTCTGGTGGAACCCCATGGGCGCATCATGGGCCTGGACCTGCCAGATGGGGGCCACCTGACCCATGGGTTCATGACAGACAAGAAGAAAATCTCTGCCACATCCATCTTCTTTGAATCTATGCCCTATAAGGTAAGCATGTGTTTCTCTCCATAGCTTTTATTTCCTTGGGAAACTTCTGATGTTTGGCTGTGCCTGTAGGGATAAGTTTGGTTTATGTGTCACTACAGGAAGTCCCCACCTTGCACCATTTTTCATTTCCCTGCCGTGGGGACTCCTCAGGCTTTCAGGACCCGCTGGGGCAGCTGGGATGGAGAGACGAGGGTCTGAGCTGAGGCCACAGGGAAACCAGTGAGGGAGGCAACTACTGAGGAGAGTTCAGGTGCGGCAGGGGCCATGGTAACTGCTGGGAATAACAACCCTGGGGAATAGCAACCAGGTCACTACAGTTGGACCCCAGCAACAGCCACCACCTCCACAGCTCTGCCTTCACCTGGTGACATCTCTGCTCGGAGCCCCTGTGGGCCAGCAGCAGCATAAGGATGCAGTAGCTGCAGGGATGGCAGCATCCTCAGCTCCAGCACCAAAACCAGCAGCCCTGTGCCATCCACAGCAACAGTCCTCCATGGCCATGTTAGGGCCAGCCCCTGCCTGTGTATAGCGGCTACAGAGGAATAGACAGTGGTTTGACTTAGGATGTTCAACCTTAGGATAGTGCAAAAGTGACATGCATTCAATAGCTATACTTCAAGCTCCCATACATCCGTTCTGCTTTTCACTGTCAGTACAGTATTCAGTAGATTACGTGAGATAGTCAACACTGTGTTATAAAATAAGCTTTGTGTTTGACTCTCTTGCCCGGTGTAGGGTACCACAGTGTTCTCAGCATGTTTAAGGTAAGCCAGGCTAGATTGTGACGTTGGATAGGTTAGGTGTATCACATGCATTTTTGACTTTATGATATTTTCAGCTTAATGATGAGTTTATTGGAATGTAACCCCATAAGTTGAGGAGCACCTGTACAGTTCAGGTGTACACCCCATTGCCATTGCCACCCCACTGCAAATACCTGATAACACAGCCAGCCCAGCAGTGGAACCAGCACCATCAGAACCAGTGCCAAGGGCTGCCTCTAGGGTGTGCAGGGCCCCAGGCAAATACTTGTTTAGCATGGGACCCTGTCTGTATAAACACTTGGGTCAAAAAATGCATGTAAGATGCATGGGCTCATTCAGGCATGGTGATTTATCTATAAAGATAAAGGATCATGGGGAGAAGAGGTAACTTGCTTATTCTTTTAGTGTCCAGTGTTGGTGATTCTTTCTAGTGTCCAGGAACCATCTTTTCATGTTCTTTATGAATAAATGTGCCATTCCTGCTTAGTTTCATGTTTGTTACCGTGAAAAAAGGCAGCAGTGCATCTTTCTCCTTGGCTGGCATTGCATGGTCTTGGGTGCATGCTGTGTGTACTCGGCCTTTGTCTCAGTGCTGGTGATTGTACGTGTGCTCTTTTTTGCAGTTATGTCTTTCACAGAACACCTAGGCATTTGCAGTCACAGATCTCCTCACTGGCCAAGGCCAGCCTTGAAGCTAGATTTTGAAACATGTCACAATAGTTAACAAAACACTTTGCCTTGGCTGGGCTCGGTGGCTCACGCCTGTAATCCCAGCACTTTGGGAAGCTGAGACGGGCATATCACCTGAAGTCAGGAGTTCGAGACCAGCCTGGCCAACATGTTGAAACCCTGTCTCTACTAAAAATCCAAAAAATTACCTGGACATGGTGATGCACACCCGTGGTTCCAGCGACTCAGGAGGCCAAGGCGGGATAATTGCTTGAACCTGGGAGGCGGAGGTTGCAGTGAGCCAAGATAGCTCCATTGCACTCCAGAGTGGGTGACAAGAGTGAAACTCCATCTCAAAAAAAAAAAGGCCGGGTGCAGTTGCTCACACTTACAATCCCAGCACTTTGGGAGGCTGAGGCAGGTGGATCATGAGGTCAGGAGTTCGAGACCAACCTGGCCAACACAGTGAAACCCTGTCTCTACTAAAAATACATGGTGGCGTGCTCCTGTAATCCCACTCTTTGGGAGGCTGAGGTGGGCAGATCATCCGAGGTCAGGAGTTCGAGACCAGCCTGGCCAACATGGCAAAACCCTGTCTCTACTAAAAATACAAAAATTAGCTGGGCGTGGTGGCACACACCTGTAGTCCCAGCTACTCAGGCGGCTGAGGCAGGAGAACCACTTGAACCTGGGAGGCAGAGGTTGCAGTGAGCCAAGACTGCAACAGTGCACTCCAGCCTGGGTGACAGAGCGAGGCTCCATCTTAAAAAAAAAAAAAAAAAAAAAAAAAAAAAAATCTGCATCCCGCACCCAGTTCCCTCCAGCCACCCCCTGTCTTTGAGGTACATTGTTCAGGCTGCAGTCCTGTGGGCGCAGTGAGGGGACGCACCTCAGGATGGGCGTGGAGAGGTGGGGCCTGGGACCCTGGCCAGCTTGGGCAGCAGGAGGTGCAGCTCACCCACTGGGGGGTGATTTGAGTCCTGCCCTCAGTGGGCAGGAGGAGACAGACCTTACTGGCATTTACCAGCAGCCAGAGGCAGCTCACTTCCACCCCACTGGGCTGCAGAGTTGGAGGTCAGGGGGTGTCCTAGGGCCACTGCCCTGCCCAGCCTTCACCAGACCACCTGCCTCCACCTTTAGCCCCTGCCCGCCTCTACAGCAGGAGCCCCACAAAGGGCCAAGCAATAGCAACACTAACCTTCCATTTTGTGTTTTTGGCCCATCCCCACTGTGACTGAAGAATTCCTCCCTGTCCCTGGTCCTGAGTGACTACTGGGGTCTCCTTATCCTCTGTGCACTGTGGACCCCATCTGCAGTTTATTATAAATGCCTGTGAATTCTTCTAGGAGTTGTTCTGTTGTCTCACTCTCAAGATTAAAAAAAGGAAATAAAAACCTTTGAAAAATCTATTAAAAGGGGAGAAAGCAGCACAGACTTTTTTTTTTTTTTTTTTTTTGTAATTGTGGCTACACAAAAAATTGTATTATCATGTCCGTTTTTTTTCATCTTTTTTTTTTTTTCCTTTTTGTGGAGAACAAGGTCTCCCTATGTTGCCCAGGCGAGTCTCACACTCCTGGACTCAAGCTATCTTCCTGCTTCTGCCTCTAAGAGCTGGGATTACAGGCGTGAGCCACTGTGCCTGGTGAATTATGTCCATTTTTACTGGAGGTCAGCCATTGATATTTCATTTCATAAAACAGTTTCTTTGCCAAATTCAGGTGACTGAGAAAGAACCACACCCTTGAAGCAAAACACAGAAAACAAAACCACAAATCATCTTTCCACTTGACTTTCTAGATGAGGTCTTGGTTCCCGAAACCTTGCGGCCAAGCTTCTGTAGTTGGGTTGGATTGTAAGTGCCTTTTTTATTTGGAAAGAGGGACCACCAATCCTGAAACCTTTCACTCCAGATGTGCTGGTAGTTTCTGAGGGGGTCACCAAGGTAAGAGGAAGGAAGGTTGGGGCAGGGCCTTCAGAAGAGGGAGCCTCTCTGTCTCCGTCTCCTCTTTCCTGAGGCTTCTCAGATCCCAGAGCCCAGTTTTTCCTGTGGTGCACTCCATGCTCTGCTGGTTATATGTGCTTCCCCGTGACCTATTTTTTTTTTTTTTTTTTTTTTGAGATAGCATCTGGCTTTGTCTCCCAGGCTGGAGTGAAGTGGCTCTATCTCAGTTCACTGCAACCTCTGCTTCCCGGGCTCAAGCGATCTTCCCTCTTCAGTTCCCAAGTAGCTGGGACTAGAGACGCATGCCACCATGCCTGGCTAATTTTTGTATTTTTTGTGGAGATGAGGTTTTGCCATGTTGCCAGGCTGGTCTTGGACTCCTGGGCTCAGCCAGAGCCTAACTCAGCCTCCCAAAGTGCTGGAATTACAGGCATGAGCCACCGCATCCAGCTGACCCTTTTTTTTTTTTTTTTTTTTTTTTTGAGACAAAGTTTCACTCTTGTCACCCAGGCTAGAGTGCAGTGGCACGATCTCAGCTCACTGCAACCTCTGCCTCCTGGGTTTAAGCGATTCTCCTCCCTTAGCTTCCCAAGTCACTGGGACTGCAGGTGTGCACCACCATGCCTGGCTAATTTTGTGTTTTTAGTAGAGGCAGAGTTCCACCATGTTGGCCAGGCTGGTCTCGAGCTCCTGACCTCAGGTGATTTGCCCTGCTCAGCCTCCCAAAGTGCTGGGATTACAGACATGAGCCACCACACCCGGCTGACCCATATGTTTATAGAAGTTTAATAAAATGAACTTCCTAAGAGATGTGTTTCCAAAAAAGAAAAATAAATTATTTTAAATTTTACATTGAGGTCTACAATCTGTCTGGAATTGGCCTTTTTTTTTTTTTAACAAATTATATATAATTAAGGGATGCACAGTGATGTTATGATTTGTATACACAGTGCAGAATTATTGAATCAAGTTAACCAACATATCCCACTCCTTAAATATTTATTATTCTTCCTGTCTAATTGCAACTTTGTACCCTTTGCTCAGTATCTCTCCATTGTCCACCACCCTTTAGTGACTGGTAACCACATTCTACCTTGCTTCTGTGAGTTCGTTTGTTTTATTTATTTTTTAAATTTATTTCTTTTGAGATGGAGTCTCGCTTTGTCACCCAGGCTAGAGTACAGTGGCGCCATCTCGACTCACTGCAACCTCTACCTCCTAGGTTCAAGTGATTCTCCTGCCTCAGCCTCCTGAGTAGCTGGGATTACAGGCATGTGCCACCACGCCTGGCTAATTTTTGTATGTTTAGTAGAGACAGGGTTTCACCATGTTGGCCAGGCTGGTCTCGAACTCCCATCCTCAGGTAATCCACCTGCCTTGGCCTCCCAAAGTGCTGGAACTGCAGGTGTGAGCCACCGCGCTCAGCAGTTCAGTTGTTTTAGATTTCACATAGAAGTAAGATCACACGGCCAGGTGCAGTGGCTCACATCTGTAATCTCAGCACTTTGGGAGGTCGAAGTGGGAGGATCACTTGAGTCCAGGAGTTTGAGACCAGCCTGGGCAACATGGTGAAACCCCATCTCTACAAAAATACAAAAATTAGTTGGGTGTGGTGGCACTGCCCGTGGTCCCAGCTATTCAGGAGGCTGAGTGGGAGAATCGCTTGAACCCGGGAGGTGGAGGTTGCAGTGAGCCGAGATGGCACCACTGCACTGCAGCCTGGGTGACAGAGTGAGCCTCTGTCTCAAAAAAGAAGTGGGATCATGCAGTATTTGTCTTTCTGAGCCTGGCCTATTTCACTTAGCATAAGGTCCTCCAAGTTCATCGGTGTTGTTGTAAATGACAGAATTTCTTTTTTCAGGCTGATTATGATTACATTGTGTGTATATATGTGTCACATTTCCTTTGTCCATTCATCTGTTGATGGACATGGATTTATTCTGTAATTTGGCAATTGTGAATAGTGCTGCAGTGAACATGGGAGTGCACATGTCTCTTTGACATACTGATTTCAAGTTCTTAGGATATAGATTCACAAGTGGGATTGCTGAATCTGGAATTGATTTCTTTGTGTGGGTGAGGCGGCCATCTGGATAACATTTTTGTCCACATGGATGCCCAGTTGATCCAGTGCCATTAATTGAAAAGATCACCCTCTCCCCACTGTACTGTGGCGTCACCTCTGGCATGGATCCAATGACCTGTGTTGCATGTGGTTCTGCTTCTGGTTAAGCCAGATGCTCTGCCCTTCCACGAATGCATGCTGCCTTAATTACTATAATTCGTCAAGCATTTTGTGACACAAAATACACAAAGCAACGATGTTTCATGTAAAGGTTTGGTGTCTTTCCTTTTATGGTTTTTGTTATTTACATTTCATTTTCTATCTTTCTTTCTTTTTTTTTTTTTTTTTTGAGAAAGCCAGCTGACTCTTTATTGCTTTGGGGGCAGGGGGCTCAGGAGCTCTTGGTGGGGCGGGTCCGCTTCCTCTTCACCACCACAGGCTTCTGGCTGCGCAGGATGGCGCTGGCCCTGCGGATGGCTGCCATGCGCAGGTCGGGGCGGTACTTGTTCTTGCGGATCATGTGTCTGATGCTGCTGAGCGTGGCGCGAGCGTTCTTGTTGATGGTGGTCCGCACATAGGAGGTGGCAGGCTTCCGCTGGCCGGATCTCCGCTTAATGACCACTACGACGCCTTTGCCGTCGGCGGCCGGCTCCACGCCCACAGTCTTGCGGTGAATCAGCCCGTTGTAGCGGAAGGAATTGCGGGCCTTCAAGTTATTGGGCTCAGTACTGTAGGTCTGCTTATTCCTCTTGATCAGGAAACTGGAGCAGTTCCGCACGACCATCCATTGCAGATGCGCAGACATGGCGGCGGCTCCTCTCGCAGCGGCGACCTGAGACGGAAAGAGCTCTATCTTTCTTTTACATACTTTTTTTTTTTTTTTTTTTTT